GAAGAGAATTATCAGTGGACTGTGGTGGAGTATTATTACTTTTTTCGTGGTGGGTATGGGTGGTAACATGCATTTTGAAGGAATGTGGACCCATATTCCTAAAACATACATAGTGTTATAAACCAATGCTGCAGCAATAAAGGACAGAGAGAGAGAGAGAGAGAAGAGGAGGGAGGAAAAGAAAATATTTTTAAAGGAATAGCAAAAGGAATTTCCCAGAACTGAAGGATGTGAATTATTAGATTACAGTGATACTGAAGGCCCACCACAAATGAATGGAAAAGGAAGCATATTAAGTGTTGTCATGGTGAAAGTCAGAAAACATGGGAGAAGTTTTGGAAGAGAGGAAACACTGTCAATGAGAAAAAGAAAAAAAACAGAAATGAAAACATCACTGGATTTCTCACCTGCAACCACAGATCTTAGAAGATTGAAAAATGCTTACGAGATTCTTTGTCCAAATGATTTCCAACTTAGCAATACATGGGCAAACTATTTTTTTTTTAATAGAGCATGTTTTATTTTATTTATTTATTTGTTTGTTTGTTTGTTTTGTTTATACATGCACTGGGTACAGTCAGAAGCGCGGGAGGGTGAGAGAATTCACCAGAGCCAGAGCGGGGAGCAGAGCAGGCAGAAGGACCGAAGTACACTGCTGAGGGGAGCAGCGGGCGGCAGGAGAGGTCTGCGCGCCATGTGGGGACCCTCCTCCGGTGGCCGGGGAGCAGCCAGGGATCGAACCGGCGCTGGCAGAGGCTGCGGGCAGCTTCGCAACCCAGCGCTCAACCACTGTGCCACCGGGGAGGCATGGGCAAACTATTAAGTCAAAGTAAATGAAAAAGTTTTCAGAGGTAAAATCTTTAAAAGATGTACTTCCCATCTATATTTTCCTGGTAGTTAGTAAATTAAGAAAAAGGAAGACATGGGAGCTAGGCAACAGCTGCTGAAGGCAGATGACAGGGCCACAGCATAGTGGCCAGGGAGCTACTAATCCTGATGGAACAGGAAATCAAAGAGCTCCCAAAGCAATGTCTCCAGAAAAGAAAATGTAAGACAGTCCAATGAGCCTGAACATATTAAAAGGACACTTATGTTTGTACTAGAGTTTTAGGATAAATCAGTGATCTGCCAGTAAAAACTTAGTAAGGGTTGTAGAAACTTCTGCAATTATCAACTTTAGGAAAAAAAGAAGCGACTCAACAAAAGTGCTGGGCCTCCCTGGTGGCGCAAGGGGTTAAAGCACTGCACTATGAAGCAATCCACAGCTTCTGCAGCACAAGTTCAATCCCCAGCCGGCCAGGGAGCAACCCACCTGGCACAACAGATCTCTCCTGACTTGCCCCACTGCTCCCCTCAGCAGTGTTCTTCGGTTGATCTGCCTGTTCTGTTCCCCACTCTGTCTCTGATAAATCCTCTCACCCCCTGCATCTCTGGCCTGCACCCAGCTCTTGTATGCATAAATAAATCTTTAAAAAAAAAAAAGAATGAAAGTGCTACCTTTGAGAACTAAATATAATATTGCAAATACCAAAAAAAATTTAATTAACTATATTGGAAAAGATAGGAATGCGTGTGTGTGCCATCAATGGGGGTGAATGATAGGAAAAGCATTTGAGGGTTATATTTCATGAAATGAAAACAAGGGCTGTTATGTAATATGGAGAAAAGTAAGAGATTAACAACATTAAAATGTGGTTAACAAACTTAAAGATCTGTATAAGATGAAATAGATAAAGGTTCTTAAAGTGGCTGTCTGGGAGGAGAGGGATGGCAGGAATGGAAATGTTTGATATGAAACTGTTGCTCTAAGCCAGTAGTATTATATGATTTTTTAAAAACTATGTTTACATATTCCTTTGACCAAAAAAAAATTTATATTAAAAAAAAATAAAGCAAGGAAATAAATGACAACATAAATCCATTTCTTCTTGTATCTTCAATCTCTTTCTCTCCCTCCATCGTCCGTCCTCACTTGACCATACTTTTGAAGAAAATCCTTATACAACCTTTTCTTTTTTTTTTTTTAAGATTTATTTATTTATTTATTTATTTATTTAAACAAGCACTGGGTACAGTCAGAAGCGCTGGAGGGTGAGAGAATTCACCAGAGCCAGAGTGGGGAGCAGAACAGGCAGAAGGACCGAGGTACACTGCTGAGGGGAGCAGCGGGCGGCAGGAGAGGTCTGTGCGCCATGTGGGACCCTCCTCCGGTGGCCGGGAGCAGCCGGGGATCGAACCGGCACTGCAGAGGCTGTGGGCAGCTTCGCAACACAGCGCTCAACTGCTGTGCCACCGGGGAGGCCCCTATAACCTTTTCTAGTTACAGTCCAATTCCATGTCTTTCTATCACAGATAATCTTATTGAAAATTATACTCTAGTCAGGTCCTCATCTTCACTCCTCAACTTGCTACAATGGATTATATCAAACTATTAAGAAATTTCTGACATCATTTTTTTTACCTCTAAGAGCCACTTCATCTAGTTCAACCTCGTGGCCTACCGGCTTCTCCGTGACCCAATTCTGAGCCTGTCACCTGAATATCTCTTCACTATGCCTGTCACTTGGGCTCTGTTCTCCAGCCATACTGCTCTGCCTTAATTCAATCTGTTTTTTTTTTTTTTTTTGAATTAAGGCTTCTGTCTAACTCTTGCTTCCCACCAGTCCATGATGATGATCTTCCTAAAACATTCATTTTATCACTTCACTCCTCTCCCTAAAACCAATACTGTCAGAACCAAGCTCCTACCCATGGCCACAAGCTGACCATTGCCTGCCCTAAGAGCCTCATCTCCCTCTAGTTTCTGCATCCACCTTAACTTGATTCCAACCTTGCCCTCTGTACTGAGACAGACTAAACAATTCACATGCAGAACTATTCCTTTCAATTTTATATATTTAAACACACGCACACATACACACACACACACAGAGGAAATTACATATCCCTAATATTTGGTACTTGATAAATATTTATGAAAGGAAAATTCATCATATTCGTAAATGACCCAAAAGTGAATCATGAATAAAAAATATATATGTATATAAATTTAGTTTCTTCTAAGGGCCAAGTGAATATTGAAAAGGTTGACTATGTTTACTTAAACATTCAAATGCATAGTGACAGGAAACTAAGAGCATCTTCCAAGTTGTGTTAAGAGGGGTGAGAGAGAGAAAAGGACAGAAAGAGGTGGGGGGGAAGGTGGGGAGTATAGGAGACTAGAAAATGTTTCACCTCCGTTTTACAATGTAACAACTAAGTGAAGAAAATATTTAAGCATTGCAAACATTAATCTGTGTGAAGGAACTTGTCCCTTATTTTCCAAAAAGCGATACAACCAAGAATTCATAGTTAGCCTTAAAGAATCTATGTGCTCTGTGTGAGTACTTCTATTTGTTTTCTGGTGAAGAAGTGCCGTCAGAAGTTTTAAAAGCTGTCCAACCAGTTCTTAAACTCGCACCCTATCCAACAAAAGTTTAATTAGGTTTGAGTTTTGTTTAAACTGACATCTGTGGTTCAAAAAGCCCCCCAGGTCAGCAATATAGTTTGCATCTTAAGTGATCAAATTGCTCGAAGGTATTCTGTGGTTCCATGGTTATTTTTTTATTCTGATTTGCAACGCATCTAGTTAATCGCCCTACGCTAAGAATATGGCTTATTCAAATGAAAAATATTTTTTGCAGTATCTCTGAATCAGTTTTGCAAAAGCAGTTATTCTTTACCTATTCATGGTGCAGGATCTAGGGGAGACAGGAAGCAGGATGTAAGTAGGAAAGACCTTAAAGCAGGCAAAAGAGATGTCAGCAAAGGCCCCTCAGAGCAGGCACACACACTTCCCTATAGGAAGGTTCCTGAGGCCCTCCTCAGGGGCTATTTACTATCACTTTACAAACAATATTACCAGGCTTATTTACCTAGTTTCTAAGCCTACCACAGAATAGAAATAAGATATAAGAAAGAGAGGTACAGGAGAGGGCTACTTAGAACATTCTGAAATACTGACAGCAAAATACAGACTTCTGTCAGCCTAATGGGAAGGAGGAAACAAAATTATAAAGAGAAAACACAAAAGAACCTTAAGTACAACTGAATATAGGGTATGGGGCAAACATTTCCTTCACCCAATAAGACCTTGGGCATCAATTTATCATAGCCCAGTACAAGGAATCAGCATCCGAAATGGTGCCCTTTGTCCTCAAGGAAAGGATGGACTCAACACCTTCAGAAAGGCATGATGCCTGTGCCAGGTAATAGGGGCGCAAGAAGGAACAAGTTGTGTCCAATTTTACAAAGGGAATACAGTATGACAGATGATAGAAAATGCTTCTTCTGAAAGAGTAAACATTTAAAAGGGCACCTTTGTCCATAAAGGACTAAATCCATAATTACTAAGAAAATTCTGCATCTGAAATGATTTCATAGCAGCTGTTACAATGTATTTTCAAATCTAGGTAAGAGTATTATACTTAGTAAAATAAGTTCGATGGAGAAAGGCAAACACCATATGATTCCACTCATATGTGGTATATACAAACACAAAGCAAAAGAATGAACTAAATAAAACAAAAATAAACTTGTAGATACAAGACCAAATTAGCTGGTATTGTTATTGGACGCCAAATCTGTTATAGGACAGGGAGAGGGGCAGCCCAAACCCCACAAACCTGCCTATTCTAAATGGGTTCTGCCATCCGCCGCATCAATAGAAAACATAGGAGACTTTAAGGGGAAGGAACTTTAATAAAACTAGGAAACAATACAGGTAAGGCAGAGTCTAGTTTCTAAATGAAGCACCCAAAGTTACCCGTCCCCTTGTGGGTAAAAGTCCATCCAAATGGGACTGGCCCAGAGCAAGGCCCCAAAGCCTGCCACAAGTCTAAAGCATCTTTCAGTGAGGACCCACAGAAAAGGGCCAGAAACAACCAGACAAGCCCAGAAGGAAAAGAGCAAAATCAACATCAAGATAAAAGCTGCCATTGTCCCCTCCCCATGGGTCTCACCCACATCTGTGTCACCCAGTCCACAACCAAAAGACAAGCGCAGTTTCTTCGCGTGTCTCTAGGCTCCATGTGCCTCCTCCAGGTCTCCTGGCTCCATCCTGCTTCCTTCCTCAGTCTCTTCTGCAGCTTCTCCTCTTCCTGCGCAGCTCCACCCTCCCTTGGGTGGGGCAGGGAACCTCCCCCTTTCCTGGGGACCACCCTGTTACAGTATCAGAAGAGAAGGTTGAAGGGGGGAGGCATAAATAGGGTAAAATGGGTCTGTTAAAAAATGTAGGTAAAATATACATTGAATTGTAGAACCTAAATATAACATCAAAGAACACAAGAGTAGTAGTTAGAGCAGTGGGAAATTCATCTTTGTGATAAGTCACTAACTATGTATGGCTTTGGCAAATCAGTTACTCCTCCAAGATGCTCTCCTATCTGTCAAATGAAGAGTCTGAAGACATAACTTTGAAGGATCCACTAACAGATACCTCCAACCCACATCCTCAGTATTGACTTTTGACTCAGTTTGGCCATTCTGAGCCCATGCCTTGTGTGAAAGGTGCTATCACAGAGCACAAAGTGATAAAAACAAAAGTCTTTTCTGGCATTCAGGTTTCAAAAACCTGGGAATCTCTGGAAAAGAAAAACAGAGGTAGGACATTCACAATTGATTTCGGAGAAAACAGGGTAAGCTTGTTTAAATACTGTTACATCCATCCATAGTTAGAAAAGAATTGAATTTCTGTGCTAAAAGAAGTTAGTAGGGTACTGATGAAAACATAGATGGGGCTGGGTCCCTGGAGTGGGGACTTGTACCCAGACCCCAGGCTAAGCCCAGATGAAACAAGGGACAGATGTAAAATAAAGAGCAGAAAACATCAGGGACTGGGGCCTCCCCGGTGGCGCAGTGGTTGAGCGCTGGGTTGCGAAGCTGCCCGCAGCCTCTGCAGCGCTGGTTCGATCCCCGGTTGCTCCCCGGCCACCGGAGGCTTGTCCCGCATGGCCGCAGACCTCTCCTGCTGCCCGCTGCTCCCCTCAGCAGTGTACTTCGGTCCTTCTGCCTGCTCTGCTCCCCGCTCTGGCTCTGGTGAATTCTCTCACCCTCCCGCACAGTTCTGACTGTACCCAGTGCTTGTATAAATAAATAAATAAATAAATCTTTAAAAAAAAAAAATCAGGGACTAACTACTACCCATAGAGAATCCAACAAGTAGCACAATCCCAGAGCAGAAATCACCAGGTGGGAGTGTCCAGGCAGAGGGATCATTATCTTGCAAAATTTACCATCTACCAGCATGCTTCATAACAGCAAGATGACTTCTGTGTGCCCAAGAGTGGCAACAGGGAGGGGGGAGAAATTGAAGGAGCCTTGGAGGTGGGAACAAAGGACAATGCAAGCAGGGTCCTGTGAGCACTGATTATGGAAGAAAGACCTGTCCAGCCATTGTCTGTGTTGCTGATCACTAAGACTAGAGCTCCAAATACTTCTGCCCACCACATCTTTGTATCAGAGTCACCAACAAAGCACAATGTTTTTCAAGGAGTGGAAAGAACAATGGCATACTCACATAGAGAAAAGAAACAGAAAGATCAACTTTTGCAGTGGGCATCAATCAGTTCCCCCATGGCCAGCATATCCCTCCTGAAAGTCAAGGCAGGATCACTGGCCTAAACACACTCCATTGTGTGCCCCATAGCACAGGTCTCCTTTCCTTCCCTGCAGGGGACAGATACAGTAGTGAGGGTTGCACACAAGCAGAACAAAGGAGCACACATTGAGTCTGTAACAGGGAAAGATATTCCCACACAAGGCAACCAGTTCAGCACAAGCTATGGGGACTCTATCCTGGTGGTAGAGCAGGGTTCCAGGTCCAAAGCCCATTCTTAAGTAGTCAAGTGGGGGGTCAAAAGACTGCATGCACAAGACTGCTTTTCCCAACAAGACTTAAGTGGGTCACCAGATGAAAGTAAATGTGGATGTCTCTATAGAGGTCAGTATGGTACCTGACCTTAAGGAAGCCTGTAAATATCCCAGGCATGGAGAGGGGGCTCTCAAATTGCCTAAAACCAAATTTTTGCAAGTCTAATGGAATTGGAACTCCAAATAAAGACCAAATTGAATCCCAGACAAATAAACATATTTCTTGCACATCTGTGTTTGGAAACTGAGATTCAGACCCACTGCATGCTGAGACAGATTCCACAGCTATAAAAATCAAAAGGCCAAGTCACAGAACAGAAGACATAACTGATGAATAACTTCATGCCAATAAATGCAGGGAAACCTGGGTAAAAAGTTAGATAAAAGTTGGATTAAAAACTTGGATAAAAAGAATTGTTATCTAGAAAAGTTTGTTATGAAATTGACCTGGGGGAAGGAGGGAATTGACAACCTGATTAAATTAATAGTCACTAAAGAAACTGGAATAATGAAAATAAATCTTTCTTTATTCAAGACACCAGCCCAGATGACATTACAGGTGAAAATTACCAAACTTTCAAGGAATAAATAATCCCTCTTTTATGAAAACTGTTTTTAGAGAGTGGAAAAAGATATAAAGTATTTAACTTATGCAGCTAATACAATATGATAGCAAAAATGGACAAGGGCAGTCAATACAAAGGGGAAAAAATACACCCATCTCACCTGTGAATACAAATGCAAAAACCCTCATAAAACTATCAGCCTATGAATACATATTGTAACATAACCAAAAAGGTTTCTCCAGAATGCAAGGATAGTTTAGATGGATGATTACCTCACAATAAATGATTAAGAAGGAAAGTGTGACTATCTCCCCAGAAGCAGAAAAAGGGATCAACAAAATTCAATTCAAAATTGCTAAATTCTTAACAAGTGGAGAAAGAATATCAGCCTAATAAAGAATATTGATCACAAAAGCTATAGTAAACATCATAGTTATGTTTAGTGATGAAACTAAGAACCAAACCTTTGTTTTAAAGTCAATAATAAAATAGGGGTGCTCGCTGTCACTACTTTTATTTAAAAAACAAATTCTGCAGGCAAACCTCTGGAACAAATACAGGAGTTCAGAGAGGGTTATGAGATACATGATCAACATATTAAAACCAATATAATAATAAACAATTTGAAAATGTAAATAGAAAAGACATCTGCGAGATAACAGAGAGTAATTAGTCTCTGAGCCTGTTCCTGGCACAGAGCTCCTAAAACCCTTGTAATTTCCTGGGCGATAAGAACATCTTTTGTTTCAATGCAGTGACTCTGGATGGGTCCCTGGGTGAGGACTCACCACAGGAAAGACCAAACCATGATTAGGAACTTGGAATTTTCAGCCCCGCCCACCATTCTCTTGAGAAAAGAGAAAGGTTGAAAATGGAGCTAATGATCTATCAGGACTAGTCATGAAGCCTCCATAAAAATTCCAGCAGTAAGGGGTTCGAGGAGCTTACAGGGTGGCAAAAACAACCATACTGGGAGGGGCATGTGGCCCTGACTCCCTGGGACAGAATCTCCTATACTGTGGACCCGCCCAGATCTTACCCTATGTATCTCTTCATCTGCCTGTTGGTCTCCATCCTTTGTCATTTCCTTTAGTAAGGTGATAAAAACTAAGCATTTCCTTGAATTCTATGAGTCATGCCAGCAAATTAATCAAACCCAGGAACCTCAGATTTGTAGCTAAGTTGGACAGAAGTTGTAGGAAACCCAGGTACCTACTGCTTATGTCTGGCATCTTGTGGGACTGAGTGCTTAAGCTGTGGGATCTGATGCCGATTCCGGGTAGATAGTGTCAGGACTGAGTTAAACTGTAAGATACCTACCTGGTGTCTCAGAGAACACCTGTTGTGGGGAGAAAAAAACCCACACATTTTGTGATCAGCAGTGTCAGAGGTGGGAGTGTCCAGAGGGAGTGGTAAGAGACACACAGGTAAAACAAACAAACAAACAAACAAACAAACAAAAAACAGAAAGGAAGAGCCAGGGATTTCCCAAGAAAAAAAGGAAAAACCTATCACAATTACAATAAAATCTATCAGATAAATGTGCGTGTAGTTAAATGCTAGCGTTAAACCTTACAGTCCTCATTTTGCTTGATAGCAAGACTTGAAACAGTTACTGTGTCCTTCCAGACACTTTTGCTTGCCTTCCAAAACATCACATACCTCTCTTAGTTTTCCTTCCACACCTGGCTCTCTTTTCCAGTTTCTTCTGTCAATACTACCTCTTCTTTCTGCCTATGAACAATGGCGTGCCCCCAGCCTTAGTCCTTAGAGCTCTTTTTTTTTTTACTGTTAAAACAGCACTCTTTTTATTGTTTTTTTTTTTAAATAATAAATTTTATTTTTATATTCCCCATAAATTGCAACCCCCCCATTCTGATCCCAATCCCTCCCCTCCCGCCCCTCACCCCTCCAAAAGTGTCTCTGTCTCATAGTTTTTTGTTGATTCTGATTTTCACTTTCTTATAGTTATTCATTTTCCTGGTCCCTTATTTAAGTTTTCTAGATTCCTGCTATGAGTGAGACCATCCGGTATTTTTCTTTTTCTTTTTGGCTTAATTCTCTGAGCATGATCCCTTCCAGCGCCATCCATGTTGCTGCAAATTGCATGTGTTTATCTTTTTGAATGCTGAGTAATATTCCATGGTGTATATGTACCACATCTTCTTACTCTTTCAATTGGTCATCTCTTCCAGTTTATTAATTCAAATACCATCTGATCACTGTTGATTTCCAATCTTTCCAGTCCTCGTCTAACTCTTCCCCAAAGCCTAGAATTATAATGAGCTGCCTATTGGACACCTCCACTTGGGAGAATATGAGACATTTCAAACCAAACAAGTCCAAAACCAGCATTGATTCAGCCTGATCTTTACATCTCAGAAAATGAAGACTAAACTAGATTTTGACTTGGGATATTTTCTTTTTCACTTTGACAATGTCACAACAGGAATGTTTGACCCTACACTCATAAAGAGAACTCATTTCTCCACTTAAAAAGTTTTTGCATACATCCTGGGTTATTTTCCATTTTCTCTTACCAGATACACAAAAGGGCAGTTTGCTATTAATTACCCTAACTATATTCTAGTGCCACCTGCACTGCTTTATCAGTTTCAGGTCTGTC